TTGCCCACCAGCATGGTCTACCTCAAGAAGATGGTGGAGGCACCTGAGCAGGAAGTGGTGATTGTGAGGGGCATGTGTTGCGCGTTGAATAGTTTCTATGGGGAGTCGGTTGAAAATACTTTCTATCCTACAAAAGTGCAGGGCCAGATAGTTAAGGGGTTACATAAGGAGGCTCAAGTGGTCATGGGTTGGCCCGAAAGATTGGAAGGAACCTCTTGGAAGAGTTTCTTTGAGTTGAAGACCATTGACTATTGTGGTGATGAAGTCTTGTGTGCACGCCCGACCTCTTGGGCCAATCTAGCCCCGGCAATGCCTGCTGAAGTTGCGTCAGTTGAGTTGTCAGAGGTGTGTGAACTCGGTTGCAAACGCTACGTGGATCATTTTTTGGACTACCTCCTACCCGGGGAGGTCCAGAGGAAGATGAAGCCCCCTAGAGTCTTGGTCCATGATGACAACTGGCTGGAGGTCTGCAAGGGACTGTTGAGCCGGGGAGTGTGCACTCCTATTCACGAGGACGACATCTACCGGGTGGACGGAGAGCCGGTGCTGAACGGCCTCTTTGGCGTCCCCGGTTGAGGGCACCCCCATTCACAGACTCATCATGGATCTACGGCCATGCAACCTTGTGTGCCGTGCGCTGGAAGGAGACGTCTCGACCCTACCTAGTTGGGCCACGATGGGACCACTTCATGCCCACAGAGGACCTTGTCATATCCTCTGAAGATGTGCGGTGTTTCTTTTATATTTTCAAGATCCCACGTGAGTGGAGGAAACTTCTGGCGTTCAACAAGGTCCTTCCTCGAGAGCTGTGGCCGACCCCACATGGACCTTACTACATGTCATCTCAGGTATTGCCTATGGGGTTTAAAAACTCTGTGAGTCTAGCACAGCACGTACACCGCAACATCGTACGACGAGCTGGACTACGGATGTCGGGCAGTCTTGAGGGCTCAGGTGAGATTCGCAAGGACAGACCATTCTCAGGAACCCCCACTCTTCATCGAATCTACCTCGACAATTTCGACTTGCTGGAGAAGATGGACCGCAAGACTGCTCAGCTCCTACAAGGGGAGCCGAGCCCAGCTCTTTTGGCTCTGAGGGCCGAGTATGAGGCATGGGGAATCCCACGTCATCCCAAGAAGGCTGTTTGCCGAGCAGCGAAGGCTGAGGTGCAGGGAGCTATTATTGATGGAGAGGCTGGAGTGGCCTACCCCAAGCCTGTGAAGATCTACAAGTATGTTGCCTTGGCCTCGCTCCTTCTTCAAGAAGAGTCATGCAGTCAGAAACAAGCACAAGTGGTTGCAGGTGGACTGGTTTACATTAGCATGTTCCGGCGCCCTATGCTGGGATGCCTGAACCAAGTTTGGCAGTTCATCGAAAGCTTTCGGGGGTATCCACCGTTCATTAAGTTTGCCATTCCAGATGGAGTCAAACTCGAGATTGCCAGGTTCATCTGCTTGATACCCTTAGCCAAGCTGAATTTTCGCCTCCTAGTCAGCGGGGAGGTTACTGCTAGTGACGCTTCGACCACGGGAGGAGGTATAACGGCCAGCGCAGGCCTGACAGGGTTCGGCCAGGCGGCAGCCGGAGCAAAAGTGCGAGGAGATCTGGCTGATCCTAGCGACTTGACGGCCATACTTACCATCGGGCTCTTCGATGGAATAGGAGCGTTGCGAGTGGCAGCAGATGTTGGGAGTGATTGGTCATATAAGTGTAGAAGTGAAGAAGGAGGCAAGCAGGGTCCTTGAGAGTTGCTTTCCTGGCGGCGTGGAGGCGGTTGATGACGAGACGGTGCGATCTTGGGCGGCTAGGTACTCCCAGGCCGCAGTGGTTCTCATCGGCGCTGGTCCGCCGTGTCAAGGAGTGAGCGGCTTAAATGCCAACCGACGTGGAGCTCTTCGCGATCACCGCAGCTGTTTGTTCAGTCATGTGGCTCGGATTCGTGAGCTGGTGCGGGTGCACTTCTGTTGGGCGCAGGTTCGCTACCTAGCCGAAAGTGTCATGAGCATGGATGAAGGTGACAGGAAGATCATGACAGAGTCGTTTGGTGACATCCCAGTCTCCGTTGATGCCGCCGGAGTCTCATTGGCTCGACGACCTCGCCTCTACTGGTGCGATTGGGAGCTGCTCCCAGGCCGGGGAGTGGTGGTGCAGCCTCCTGTTGGATCGGGGAGTGCTCGGTACAAGACCGTGGAGCTTCATGCACAAGTGAAAGCCGACCTCTTCCTCATGGATGGGCGCCAACGTACCTCGCCAGGGCCGCTCCCCACCTTCACGACCTCGCGGCCTAGAGAGAACCCTGGCCGTAAACCAGCAGGCCTTGACACTCTGGATGAGGAGGAGCGCCAAGCATGGGAACAAGATCGATACAGGTTTCCTCCATACCAATATCAGCAGAAGAATCTCGTGAAGGAACCAGGAGGAAGCTTGCGGCTTCCAAACATTGTTGAGAGGGAGGTCATCACGGGGTTTCCAAAGGATTATACGTTTCAGTGCATGAGCAAGCAGTTCCATGACACCGATGCCCACAAGGACGAGCGCAAGACGCTGGTCGGCAACACGTGGAACGTCACAGTGGTGACCTGGCTGCTTTCTCAGCTGGGAGGCCAGTTGGGACTATGTTCATTCTTGAGTCCTCAAGACGCAGTAGACCTAACCACACCGGGACAAGCCCCACAGTCGCTGGACTTCTGCAGAGACCGCCGCTGAATGCTCCTACAGCTGAGGGGAGCAGTCCTGGTAGCCAAATGCTTGTGGAGAAGCTTTTGAATTTGGTCAGCTTAAAAGGTGAGGACATCATGATTCAGGCCCAGTCTGAGGAGACGCTCCGATATCATCGGCTCAGAGCTAGCTTGCCCGCTGCCCTTTGGAAGTGGAGGACGATAACTGGATGGCACTGGCGAGGCAGCCCCGAACACATCAACGTGCTTGAGATGAGGGCCGTCCTCACCACCCTCAGATGGCGAATCCTGAAGCAGAAGACCTTCCACTCAAAATTTATCCATATGATCGATAGCCTCGTGTGCCTACATTCTCTGTCACGTGGACGAAGCAGCAGCAGGAAGATGAGGAGGACGCTTTGTCGAATAGATGCTTTACTTCTAGCTTCTGGCAACCATGGAGTATGGGCGTATGTCCATACTTCTCAAAACCCAGCAGATCGGCCGTCTAGGCGGCCCTTTCGCAAAAAATGGTGAGAAGGCAGACAGCGCACCTAGAAGGTAGAAGTAAAGCAGCCAGACAAGAGCAGAGAAGACGTTTAGGCCCACTCCGCAATCTTTCAGTGCAGAGCAAGACTAGAGATCGATACAATAAAGCGTTGGATAAATACAAGAGTTTCTTGAAGGATGAAGGACGTGTATTCCCAAGGGATGCACCTGGTCATGATTACCTCCTCTCGCAGTACATAGAGTTCCTCTGGGAAACCGGCGAGGGCCGGGCCCTTGCCTGTGACACTATCGCTTCCGTGCAAGACCAGCAGCCAGCACTTCGAGGTCACCTTCCTAGCGCATGGAGACTGATGAGGACATGGCAGACCAATGAAATACCAAACAGAGCGCCACCATTGCCGGTGGAGGCACTGCACGTTCTTGTCGGATACGCACTCTTCTCTGGAAATGGACTTTTTGGGCTCTCACTACTCCTGGCCTTCCACGGGCTCCTACGCACCGGGGAGCTTCTGGGCATCCGAAAGACTCATGTCACTCAAGTAGGGCCCAGGTCACCAGCTGTCATCTCCCTCGGAATGACGAAGGGAGGAAAGAGAGTAGGAGCAAGTGAAAGTGTTACAATCAGAGAAGAAGAAACTCTTCGACGACTCTGGCAATGGCTACACACTCCTAACACACCGTCGCTGCTCTGTGGCACAGCCCACAGTTGGAGAAAGACTTTCAACGACGCACTAGAAGCTTGTCAGCTTGAAGGGCACGACTTCCGTCCTTACAGCCTTCGAAGAGGAGGGGCCACCATGTACTTCGGACGACATGGCTCGCTAGATCGCCTCCTGGTTCAGGGGAGGTGGGCCTCGCCCAAGACGGCCCGAATCTACATCAACGAAGGTTTAGCCGTGCTTGCTGAACTGAAGTTGACTTTTAATGCACCAGCCAAAGCATATGCCCGACAATATAATAAGTCCCTGATGTCACCGCTCCAAACCCTTGAGCTTCCCCAAAAGGGGAGGCCAGGGGGACGTGGAAAGAAGCCTAAGAAAGGCAAGAAAAGACACCACAAGTAGCTCATTTTTTCTTCGAATTCGAACCGCCGGCCGAAAAGATGATGAACAACGGAACTTGGAGGGTGGTGGCCCAGACGTT